CCCTTAACAGAAAGCCACCCACCCCATACTCCTGGAGCGTCCCCCACAGGGTGCCCCTGGGGACACGGTCATAAGCCTTCTCCAAATCCACAAAGCACATGTGGATTGGTTGGGCAAACTCCCATGCCCCCTCCATCACCCTTGTAAGGGTATAGAGCTGGTCCACAGTTCCACGGCTAGGACGAAAACCACATTGCTCCTCCTCTATCTGAGATTCAACTATCGTTCGGACCCTCCTCTCCAGTACCTTGGCGTAGACCTTTCCAGGGAGGCTGATGAGTTTGATCCCCCTATAGTTGGAACACACCCTCAGGTCACCCTTCTTAAAGATGGGGACCACCACCCCGGTCTGCCACTCCATAGGAACTGCCCCCGATGACCACGCAATGTTGTAGAGACGTGTCAACCATGACAGCCCTACAACATCCATAGCCTTGAGATACCCAGGACGAACCTCATCCACCCCCGGGGCTCCGCCGCTGTGTAGTTGTTTGACTACCTCAGCAACTTCTGCCCCCGAGATCGGACAGTCCATCCCCAGGCCTCCCAGCTCTGGTTCCTCCTCGGAATGCGCATTGGTGGGATTGAGGAGCTCCTCAAAGTATTCCTTCCACCGTCCGACTATAGCCTCAGTTGACGTCAGCAGCTCCCCATCCCCACTGTAAACAGTGTGAGCGAGTTGCTGCCTTCCTCTCCTGAGGCGCCGGACAGTTTGCCAGAACCTCTTTGGAGCCGATCGATAGTCTTTCTCCATGGCCTCACCAAACTCCTCCCACGCCCGAGATTTTGCCTCGGCAACTGCCACTGCTGCACCCCGCTTGGCTATCCGGTACCTGTCTGCTGCCTCCGGAGACCCACAGACCAGCCACGCCCTGTAGGCCTCCTTCTTCAGCCTGACGGCTCCCCGAACCTCTGGTGTCCACCAGCGGGTACGGGGGTTGCCACCACGACTGGCACCGGCCACCTTACGACCACAGCTAGCAACAGCCGCCTCGACAATCGCAGAGTGGAACAAGGCCCACTCGGACTCAATGTCCCCCACTGCTCTCGGGACGTGGTCAAAGCTCTGCCGGAGGTGGGAGTTGAAGACCGTCTTGACAGGTTCTTCTGCCAGGCGTTCCCAGCAGACCCTCACTATGCGTTTGGGTCTGCCAGGTCTACGCGGCATGTTCCCTTGCCATCTGATCCAACTCACCACCAGGTGGTGATCAGTTGACAGCTCCGCCCCTCTCTTCACTCGGGTGTCCAAAACATACGGCCGCAGGTCAGATGATACGACTACAAAATCTGTCATCGACCTGTGACCTAGGCTGCCCTGGTACCAAGTGTACCGGTGGGCATCCTTATGTTCGAACATGGTGTTCGTTATGGCCAAACTGCGGCTTGCACAGAAGTCCAATAACAAAACACCGCTCGAGTTCAGATTAGGTGGGCCGTTCCTCCCAATCACACCCCTCCAGGTCAAGCTGTCATTGCCCACGTGAGCATTGAAGTCCCCCAGCAGGACAATGGAGTCCCCTGATGGAGCACTATCTAGCACTCGTCCCAGGGACTCCAAAAAGGGTGGGTACTCTGAACTGATATTTGGCCCATAAGCACAAACAACAGTCAGGACCCGTTCCCCGACCCGAAGGCGCAAGGAAGCTACCCTCTTGTCCCCCGGGGTAAACCCCAACACACAGGCAGAGAGTCTCGGGGCTAACAAAAAGCCAACCCCAGCCCTCCGCCTCTCACCCGGAGCAACTCCAGCAAAGTAGAGTGTCCAACCCCTCTCCAGGTCTCGGGTTCCAGAGCCAATGCAATGTGTCGAGGTGAGTCCGACTATATCTAGCCGGTACCGCTCAACCTCTGCCACAAGCTCCGGCTCCTTCCCCGCCAGCGAGGTGACGTTCCATGTCCCAAAAACTAGTTTTCTTGTCTGGGGATTGGACCGCCAAGGCTCCCGCCTTGGTCTGCCACCCGATTCGCATTGCACCGGACCCTTCATGTTCCTCCTGCGGGTGGTGGGTCCACAGTTGGACGAGCCCATGTATCCGGTTCGGGCTGGGCCCGGCCGGGCCCCATGGGCGAAAGCCCGGCCACCAGGCGCTCGCTCACGGGCCCCAACCCCAGGCCTGGCTCCAGGGTGGGACCCCGGTAACCCTCCGGGCCGGGTACTCCGACTCTTCGTTTTAACCGCCATGAAAGATCCTTCGAACCGTTCTTTGTCTCACCCTTCACCTAAGACCAATTTGTCATGGGAGACCCTACCAGGGGCACTAAGTGCCCCAGACAACATAGCTCCTAGGATCATTAGGGCACTCAAACTCCTCCACCACGATAAGGTGACGGTTCAAGGAGGAGGAAAATAGTCTTCAACTCTTAATTCTTGCATTAGCTGTAGAAATAAATAGACAGAGAAATGCTCGAACTGCAGCTTTTGGAGCCTTATTTCCTGATATTTGAACATCTCACCTTGGATTGGATAACAGCAGCATGACACTACCACTGACTTGCAACATGGATGTGTTATCTCCACAAATGACACAAGCCTGAAGGAACATCAGTGGTGTGGTGGTGTTGCTAAAGCTAATGGTTCGTTTAAAGTAGCTGAGACGTCCACTGCAGTTTCCTGGACATTAAACCAACAACAGCCTTCCCCGTTGTGAGGCAAGATGGGTGAGTCCATAAATGTTGTGACAGTGTGACGTAGATCTGTCAGACTTTTCAAATCCTAGAGTTTCACCATCTATTTTCTATCAGAAGCTAATGCAAGAGATAGGCATAGGAGACTATTTTCATGTTCAACCTGTATGTTAAACTCAGAGTGACCATTTATAATCAGAAATAATAATTAAATTATGGTTTTTCAGTGAACCAAACCTGTAATATCAAATGTCAATATTCGCCTAAATTTTCATATCAGTGCCTCTGTAGATATGTCTACCCAAGATATCTTCTCATTTGAAACAAAATATTTCAAATTCAATAAATCATGAATTATACTTTTGTAAACTATATCACATTTTTACAAATTTGATTGAATAATCTCAGTAAAAATCATAAACCAAATTCCCAAATTGTTTGTATTAGTTGACAAAAGTTGAGCCTATAATTTGAGTATTAAGTATTCATCTCGCAGCGAACACACAGACCCACCCTTATGTAGGAATGCATCATTAAAATAATATTTTGTTAGATGCTGGCTAAAAATGTCAGGGCTGCATTGCCACGGTTACACAATACCTTTGTTGTCTGTCTCCTGGTAACGTGTGCGGTGCGTGAGCCAATGTTGTTGCTTTGCTGATAGATATTTGTCAGCATCCGAGTATTATCAGATCTGAGGAGAGAGCGACTCAAAGCTGCACCGCTAAACATTGGATTTTTTCCTGTGTGATTGCACAAACAGTGAGTGACGCCTTTTGTTGTTGGGAGCGTTTTCTCAGGCGTCAGGGAGGAAGCAATGTGAATTCCACCAAACAAGCCATAAAGGCATACCATAGTCATTACTGCATTCAGAAGACGAGCACTCACAGAACACAGCCTCAATTTGCACCAAGTTATGTAATTGTTGGTTTTGGTGCCGTGTGACTAGCCACGCTATGCTAACTGAAGGCTCAGTTGCTGCTACTAGACATTCTAACACTTGGGTTATTTTAAACGAGCTCATGTGGTTAAAGAAGTTCCTCTACTGTGGGATATGTGGTGTTCTGCACTGCAGTAAAGCACACGCCTTACAGGGAGAGCTGGGATGGAACAGTGACCAGGATTTTCCCTTTATTCCATCATTAGCTCAGATGACTGTAAACACCACAAACATGCTTTAACTTGGTTTGTGGATATGGATTTTTTTAAATACATTTTTTTAATCATACAGGGAAACAAAAACTCTTCGTCCTGTAATACGACAGGTTAGAACAATAAGGATTATTTCTTGTCAACTGCAGTTTTAAAAGATCTAATAACGCGCAATCAAAGGATGGTTATGGAAAGAAAATTAATCTTTTTTCATCCAAAAGGGTTCAGATGAAGGCAACCAGATTTTTTTGGTTTATTGAAGACATCTTGTGTCTCATTCAAGGAGCTTTGCCATTTTGACTGGAATATGGGAGAGTCAAGCTTATAAACTGTAGTTGTTCATTGCTGCTTAATGAGTGGAAAGTACCTATGAATACCCCTCCTTCCTACCTCCTGATCATCAGGGGATTAACTAAAGAAATCCAGTTACCTTCATTTGAACCCCATTGGATTACTTTGACCTGGATGACTGAGAACCTTCCCCTACATAATCTTCTTCACATCTTTCATAGTCCAGCATTTCAGTTTTGCAGTGATACCTTCCGACATATTCAAACTTAACATGCAACTTAACAGCTAATGGCTCATAACAAGTTGTCTTTACATTGGTTTTTCGTATTTTGCTACTTTCCGTGCTGTGCAGTTGCCTCTTGAGGATGAATTAAGTGATTTGAAGTGAACTCTTTCAACTGGCTGTGGTCAAATATTGTTTTCTTAAAGCATCCTAGTACTCTTCAGGGTAAGGTGGGATTTCCAAGGGATGCCTGAATGCCTAAAGTCCTGTTAGTAAAATTTTAACAGGTTTTTGGTATAAAGCAGACATACTGTTACAAAAAACCGAGGAACTGGTATGGCGTGTTACTCAGCATTTCAACAGAAAGAGAACATCTTTAGTCTTTTCTTTGTAAATCTTTAGAGGAACTCATTGCAAGTGTCTGTGTAATTATACGTTGCTCTGCAATGTCTGAATCATTCATTGAATGTAGTGCAGCATTGCTTGTAACAGTTTAGGATCTAAAAATAACTCACACACATATATACAGGATAATGAAAGCAAATACCACAAGTCTTATTTCCTTCTAGAGCAAAATCTGTTCAGATTTGCTCCTTATGCCACTTTGGGGCTGAAGTAAATTTAAATAAAAGTTCAGTGTTCTATTTTAGTTCTCAGGCTCTTTATGTTTTCTTTTTTAACTTGCTTGGTGCCTCATTCATCTTCACAGATCGTTTTGCTGCACATTTCAGAGCTGAGTAAGTCGCCCTTGTCCTTGGCCATTATGCTAAACAGACTGACTGCTGCGACTGTTTGAGCCGGGAGCTGGCCTGCTCTCATTGAAATGCCTCCGGAGGCATGTAACCAGGCAACTGGGCAACTGTGGGGACCGTGAGAGGTACATCTCCTCCTCTCTGCATATCAAGGGACTCCATATTTACTTTGTTTCTGTCTGGCTTTGCTTAGTCATTCACATTTTTACTCTCAGACTTAGAGGGAGACAGTTTTTGTTTGCACACTCCTCTTTTCCCACACAAAAACAGTAATGGGAAATAAAATTATGTAAAGCAAGTTAAATGTGTCCTTAATAGTTCATGAGTTTTGATACTTATGTGGGAGGAAGCTGTGCAGAAAGTTGCTTATTGTCTGTCAGGAAAATGCTTTTATGGTGTTATTTCTAATGAAATATATCCTTATTGAAGTAATTTCATGCCATCTATCACTGTAAACTCACTAAATGTCTGAGTTATTCAGTTATTTTTTCGCAACTCTGCTTACTTTAAGAGTTTTACTTACGACTATTGTACATTATGACAAAAAACATAGCTAGGCACCCAGATCTAGCCTCTAAGATGAAAGATGGTTCACATTCAGCAGTCACTTAGCCACTGTATTTATCACTTTTGCTATAAATGTGAAGGGGAGTACATGGAATACGGTTCGTTTTTCTTTTTAGTGTCACTGTAAAAGCAGTATTTTTATTATATGGCATACTTTTATAAGCGAAAATGCCAGGAGTTGTGCCAAGGGGAATTAAAGGCGAGTTCAGGACACAGTCAGTAATTATGATTTGGGGCCTGAAGGCATGTTTGTGTCTCTGTGTACATGCTTGTGTTTGTTAGCACATTTCTAAACCTGGTAGTAGCTGAGAGTCAGTCATGTCACATACTTAGGGTGCTGATTGTGCAAAATCTTATGTAATAGCAGTTTTTTCTTTAAAGTGGACCAAAACTATGAGAATTCTGTAATTTCTATTCAGTTTATTTATATAGTGCCAAATCATGACAAGAGTCAGCTCAAGGCACGTCACAAACATTCCAATACAGGTCAGGTCATTAAGCCAATCAGTAAAATGTTTCTATATAAGGAACCCAGCAGATTGCATCGAGTCACTGACACGTGTCAGTGTCTTTACAGCAATCCTCACTAAGCAAGCATGTATTGACAGTGGAGAGGAAAACTCCCTTTTAACAGAAAGACACCTCCAGAGGATCCTGGCTCAGAATAAGCAGCCATCCACCACGACTCACTGGGGATGAGAAGACAGAGCAGACACACGCACACACCATAACTACCAAGTAGTTTTTCTATGGCTACATTGTGATTTTATAGTAAAAATTCCATTTAGTAAGAGCTAAACTTTATTGTCTTTAATTGGATCTATAATTCACCAGATGAACTAGTAGTAGCACATGTTATTGTCAGGAGAGTATGCTAGCCAATGGCCCCCTTCATGAGGCCACTACAGCTCAGCTTCTTCTGAGAAGAAAAACACTTGAAGAGAAAATAAAATTCCATAACATAATGCTATATTATATGAATTCTGACATAAATAAATCAGCAGTCCACAAATCTAATCTGTGCTCATTGGCTCTGAGCATTTAACTTGTGAAATTGGTTGACGGGTTCATACAATGTGCCCCCCCCCCATTCTGTTTTAAAACCTCACACACACACACACACACACACACACAGAAGTCACAGGGATAATGTAATCAGGGAAATGCTCACAATGTGTTTATTCAAGGAAAAAAGAAACTGTCCTCTGAAGTCTCGCTCGGCACAAAGCATTTTGAGAAGCTGACCTATTTTGAATTTTCCATGCTGTCTGCTGCAATCATCAGACATGCATCTCATACTGTATGCACGTGAGCAACCCCAGCTTGCAGACACTCCCCACCACACTCCCCCCTTCTCTTCCTCCCACGACTCAGTCAAACACAAGCATGCATAGACATCAGACAAATTCACTTTGACATCTCCTTGCTCTTTTAATTGTTATTCATTCTAGTTTAAATCAAATCTAACTTTTGCATTCATGTGCTTCAACTACTGATAAAACATTTATTCTGATGACCCTCTATCATTTTGACCTGCAGAGATCCGGAATCAGCTGGTGGAGCAGTTTCGTTGCTTGGAGCAACAGTCCGAGTCTCGGCTGCAGCTGCTGCAGGACCTGCAGGAATTCTTCCGCAGAAAGGCCGAGCTCCAGCTTGAGTTTTCCAGAGGCCTGGACAAGCTGGCCGAACGATACTCCGCCAAGATCCGCACTTCCAGAGAGCACCAGCATTTCAAGTGAGTCTCTCCCCACAATAATGTCTGTGTCAAATGTGTGCGTCTGATAAATAAGTGTTTCCTGACATCGCAGATGTAAAAGAAAACAGAGGGGGGATAAGAAACAAAGAGGGAGGAGGGATAAAAGTAAAAGGAAATGACCTGAAATGAATCAAGGGCCAAAAAGGCTTGTGGCCTCAGGCTGCTGTGTTTCTCCCAACTAGGTCAGACTCTTCATCTACACCCCCCCCCCCCCCCCCCCCCCCCCCCAATGGTTGTTTCTATTTTCAAAGAGCTTCACACTAAACAATTACTTATGCACTGACAAATGTATGATGCGCAGAGAAAATAAGTCAGATTGTTATTTAGGAATCTGGAGGACCAAAATTGGGCTTATTTTGCTCCAGCTGTCTTTTAATATTACCGCTTTTTTATGCAAGGGAGCAAATCGTTGGACACGAAATAAACGTACCCTACAGCATGTTGGAGATGAGGCATGGACAGGCCTGCAGCACTGACTGATTATATTATAACTGCAGCCAATGGCCACATCTACATACAATTGATAAGAATCACTGATCATAACTAATGGAATTGCTGCCATAAGAGGTTCCTGTCATGAGCCGGGGGTGAGTACTCATCTCTCTACATGAGATCTCTGAGTTGTGTCTTGCAGGAGAGGGAGCGGCAGCTGCACCTGATTAGCTAATCAGCGGGTTGGCTTCTTAAGGAGGAGGGTGACACTACTTGACGCTGGATGATTGCTACTGACTGGTAGTTTCCAGCCCTCGTACTTGGCTCTTGGTTTTTGTGAACATTATTACGTGCACTTTTTCTTGGGACTTTTGTGACTTTACGTCTCCTGGATCTCCGACCTCAGGTTCTCCTCGTCTCTGGATTATTCCCTCACCATGCTCAATGGGACTTTGCTCTGCTTACACGCCACGTCATCCCTTCACCTCTGACCGACCCGCTCTCCAACGAATTTCCGTTCCCTCTCCAGCTCTGGAACCGCCCACCTGGATACCCCCGGCTCATTACCCATCCCCTCACTCGCTGAACTCATTCTACCCCAATAAGTCCCCTCACTCATTATCTGTTGGACTTAAAGTTCTCAGGACTCACCTCTAATCTGCTCTCCCCTCCAGACGCTGCATTTCCCGTTTTCCCTGTCCACTGGAATTCCCAGTGCGCCCTCAGTTACCATTATCCACAAATAAAATAATTATTTTTCATTATACCGTCTCCTGAGTTGATTCTGCATGTCTTGGGTTAGACACCTTCCTCAGAACATGACAGAATCATCCGGCCATACTGCTAACCCTGCAGAAGCAGCCCTCACCGATCTCACCCACAGGTTAACACAGCAGGAACATACACCACCGCTACTTATGGAACAACTCGCTGCAGTGAATCAACGCTACCAACAATCGGAGGCTCTGGTAAGACAAATCCACGGTGGTTTGTCTTAGCGTCAACAGCCACCTCTGCCAGCGGAACCATCATTCGCCGCTCCAGCAGCTGCGGTTTCCCTTGGACCGGAAGCCACAGGTCCTCCGGAAGTCACTCACTTCCGTCTAGCAGCATGCCCACCATCAGTGACCTTTAGCTGTGAATTTGAGGAATGCCACAGTTTTCTACTCCAGTGTAGACTGGCTTTTGAATGTTCTCCGGTTGCCTTTGCCTCAGACTCTGTAAAGATTTCCTATGTAGTGGGGCTGCTACGAGGAAAGGGTCTAAGGTGGGCTGAGGTTAAGAGCCACTGTGATTCCCTTTTGAGTGGTTCATACAGTGATTTTTTTCATCAGATTTTAAACTGACTTTTGGAAGTTTTGAGTCCAGCTTGGATATTAGGAAGAAGCTCTGGAATCTTTCTCAAGGCAGGAGGACAGCGGCAGACATGGCATTGGAATTTTGTATCCTGGCAGCTCGGACGTCCTGGAATGAGGAAGCTCTTATTGCCGCCTTCACCGAGGCTCTTAATGATTGGGTCCAGAACCAGCTGGCCCTATGCCCCGAGCCCGGTTCATTGGAGGCCCTCATCAGACTTGCTACCTCCATCGACAAGCGACACCATGAGCTGAGGCGACAAGACCCCGGGCCCAGTTCACCTCCCACTCAGGATCGGGGCCAAGGAACTAGTGGTCACTCCTCAACAGAATCCTCACCAGCTTAGGAACTGATGCAGATGGGGAGGACTTGTCTCACACAGGAGGAGAGACAACATCGTATAAGGTTTGGTTTATGCATGTACTGTGGTAAACATTTTGCCCAAGACTGCTCGTTACTGTTAAAAGGCAGAGCCCGCTGGTAAAACCGGGATTACTGGCGGTCAGCAACTCAGACTCTACTAGTTCTCGGTGTTCTCTCCCATGCTCTGTGTTTTTTAATTCCAAAGAGATCAAACTCGAAGCCCTCCTGGACTCGGGTTGTGAACAATCCATGTTGGGATCTAAGCTGAGTGAAAAATGGAGGATCCCAACCACCCCGTTGACCACGCCCCTCTCAGTCTCCTCTCTGGATAATCGGAACCTTTCCACCATCACCCATCAGACTATTCCCCTCCATCTAAAGGTGTCAGGTAACCACACTGAGACCTTGACCTTTTATGTGTTCCCTTCTCCTCAGTCACCGTTGGTGCTCGGGCATTCCTGGTTAGTATGCCACAATCCTCAACTCGACTGGAGGAGGAACAGAATTGAGGGATGGAGTCCTGAGTGCTCTCAACGTTGCCTCTGCTTCACCTCCTTGCCTATCTGCAGCTCTACGACCCCTCCAGTGGAGTACATTGATCTCTCAGCGGTTCCCCCAGAATACCATGACCTCAAACAGGTTTTCAGTAAGGACCTTGCCTCTTCCTTACCTCCTCACAGACCTTTCGACTGTGGAACTGATTTATTTCCAGGAGCTCCTCTTCCATCTAGCCGTCTGTATCATCTCTCCAAGCCTGAGAGTGAGAGCATGGAGAAGTATATCCAAGACTCCCTGGCCGCCGGAACTATCACACTGTCCTCTTCTCCTCTGGGCGCTGGGTTTTTCTTTGTACCCAAGAAGGAGGGGTCACACAGGCCATGCATAGACAACCGGGGTTTGAATCAAATCACCGTTAAAAACAAATACCCTCTGCCATTACTCTCCTCCACCTTTGAGCCTGTTCAGGACACTTCTATCTTCAGTCGACTGGACCTCAGGAACGCCTATCATCTGGTGAGGATAAGGGAGGGAGATGAGTGGAAGACGGAATTCAAAACCCCTCTGGGACACTTTGAGTACTTAGTGATGCCCTTTGGGTTAACCAATGCACCAGCAGTTTTTCAGTCGTTGGTAAATTCTGTTGGGTGATTACCTAAATAAGTTTGTGACTGTGTATCTAGATGATATTCTGATTTTCGCCAAAACACAGGAACAGCATACCCAGCATGTTCGAGCGGTTTTGCAACTTCTGTTGGAGAATCGGCTATATGTTAAAGCCGAGAAATGTGTTTTTCATGCTCCCACTGTCAAGTTCCTGGGGTTCATCGAGAGCGGGCGGTTGAAGCCAGATCCTGACAAGGTACAAGCTGTTACTGAATGGCCCACTCCGTCTACACGTAAGCAGTTGCAGAGGTTCCTGGGGTTTGCTAATTTTTACAGAAGATTCTTCAAGAACTACAAACGGCTGCTCCGTTAACCAACCTGGCTTCCATTAACAAACCTTTTATCTGGTCTCCAGAAGCCGACGCAGCTTTCCGAGCACTTAAGACGAGATTCACCAATGCCCCTGTGCTCCATCAACCAGATCCGCTACGCCAATTTACCCTCGAGGTAGACACCTCGGATACTGGCGTGGGAGCAGTGCTGTCTCAGGTCTCCCCAGAGGATCATCGCCTTCATCCTTGTGTCTTCTTCTCACGTCGTTTGACCCCCACAGAGAGCAGATACGATGTTGGAGACCGCGAACTGTTGGCGGTGAAACTCGCCATAGAAGAGTGGAGACATTGGCTGGAGGGCGCTGAGAAGCCGTTCATTATTTGGACCGATCATAAAAACCTGGTCTATTTAAAGGAAGCAAAAATACCCAATCCATGACAGTATAGGTGGTCCCGTTTCTTTTCATGTTTCAAATTTCAAGTCTCCTACCGACCAGGTTCCAAAAACACTAAGCCTGACGCTCTTTCCATACTATACTGACCAGAACAGGAAGAGGAACCCTCCTCTATCCTACCTCCGGCATGCTTCATGGGCGGGGTTACCTGGGAAGTCAGGGACCAGGTTCTGGAGGCCCACAAGACGGACCCCGGTCCAGGTAACGTCCTGCCCCAGTTCATGAGGAGTAAGGTCATACTGTACATTGGGCTCATACAGGCAAGTTCGCGCTGCATCCTGGCGTGGGTCGCACTGTGGCCCTAATCAGAAGGTTTTTCTGGTGGTCGTCTACATACAAGGATGCTACAAGTGCTGCTCCCTCTCCTGCAAGACACAACTCAGAGATCTCATGTAGAGAGACGAGTACTCACCCCGGCTCATGACAGCACCCCCCCACCTCAACAGATGCCACCCGGCGTTGGCTCTTGGTTTTTGTGACTTTTGTAACTTTACGTCTCATGGATCTCCGACCTCAGGTTCTCCTTGTCTCTGGATTATTCCCTCACCACGCTCAATAGGACTCTGCTCTGCTCACACGCCACGTCATCCATTCACCTCTGACCGACCCGCTTTCCAACGACTACCCACTCCCTCCCTGAACTCATTCTACCCCAATAAGTGCCCTCACTCATTTTCTGTTGGACTTAAAGTTCTCAGGACTCACCTCTAATCTGCTCTCCCCTCCAGATGCTGCGTTTCCCGTTTTCCCTGTCCACTGGGATTCCCAGTGCGCCCTCAGTTACCATTATCCACAAATAAAAATATTATTTTTCATTATACTGTCTCCTGGTTGATTCTGTATGTCTTGGGTTAGACACCTTCCTCAGAACATGTCAGTTCCAAATAGATCAGTTAAGGCTGGTAAGGTAAATTATTTTAGTACTTTATTTTCTCTT